CTAAAGATCTTCCAAATCTTTTCCAAGAGGAGAGCACGGACACGTAACCCCTGCAAAGGCAGACAAACCACTGCACTCTCCACCACTGCACCTCTCCCACATTCTCTTCCTTTGGCTACAAATTCCATCTGAGGCTCAGATGTCTTTTGTAAAAATTACATATCCACAAGTGTTTTCTCTCCCAGAAACAGCACTTTTAGACAAAGGATGCTTTGCTAAAACATTCCCAAGCAGTGCTCACTCCCTGCTCTCCCAAGCTCAGCTACATATTTCTATTTCAGACAAGGAAAGTAAACCTTGAACCCCAGACTATTGCGATTCACTGAAGTGTTACATGGTGGAATGAATTTCAGAGATGCTGCTTCACTGAAAAATGGCAATTTCCTGTGAAGACACCGCCTTTTCCTGCACTTCAAACTATGCTCTGGCAGCAGAGATTTTTCACTTCATAAAACAAGATGTTCTAATTGAAAACATTGAAAATGCTTTGCTGTAGCAGAAATGAAGTCCCTTGTTTCAAAGTCTTTGTGGGAAAAAAACCCAAACAACTACAACAACTAAAAAGCTAAAATTTCCCTGAAACCAACTGTAAAATAGTATAGAAATTATCCTGTTGGGAACAGATCCTCTGTGGATAAAGGTGTTTCTGTTTTTTTAAGGACCTTAGTCCTTAAAATACATATTAGTTTTGGTTGCCACGCACACCTGCTCCCTGAGAGGTCACTGTGACCCATTCATATTGATCTACATGCAGATAGAAGTGAAATGTTGATATTTTGTAAGTGTTCCATGTTTTCACTGACAACATTTTTCATAGGAACCAGAATAAATCAGTTTGGTTAAATTTTCTCCTATTTTATCAGCTACAAAAGAGAGATTCATTCCTGTTAGAAGGGTTTTCTTTATAAAGAAAATCTTGTGATTCAATTCTTGATCAGGAGCACGCAGAGAGGATTCCTATGTGGTGTGCCTGATGCCACAGACAGAGAAAGGAACTGATCTTTAAGGACACTAAACTGGCACAATCATTCTTGGTGTTTCCTTTGGAACAGAGCAGCTCTGAAAGCCACTGGTGACAGGTTAGCAGAGAACACAAGCCCTTACATTCAATAGACACGGTGTTAATTGGCTGAAGGAGAAATTACAGGTGAAATACAACCATCTCCATTTCCATTCAGAGTTAAGGTAGCTGGGTGTCTGGGCTGAGAACACCTGACCCAGGTGGGAGGGTAGCACAGAGCAGATAACTCATCTCAACCATCAGTGCACACTGAGAAGGGGTTTGGTTTGGGGTTTTTAGTACTTTAAAATATTAACAAAGACCTGAAAGCTCTGTTTCTGTTTCACACATTTCAGAAGGCATTTCCAGGCTGTGCAGAACCAGATAACTGTCACTGAGTAATGACACAGTTGTTCTGTAATTTATACTGACAATTGCTTCACCTAGCTGGCAGGTCAGAGAGAGCACCAGCAGCTCTCCACCACCACAATTATGGATTGTGCAATTTCGTTTTCATTTGAGAAAATAATGGACAGCCCCAAGAGGATTTCAGAAGAGCCAACGTGGGTTAAACCATCCCCTGCCCAGCCCCACCACCCTGCCCCTTCTCCACCCCAGCGCCTCCTCCTGCACACGCACAGCTTCTCCCTTCTGTTTATTTTTGTGTTTTAAACACTCTGAGCAGAAATTGACTTTGGCTGCTTCTGCTGAACTCTGAAGTGTTTGAGCAGATAAGATTCAGATAGCCCATCAGCAGAAAGTTTCACAGGTCCCTCTTTGGGCAGGTGGTCCCCAGGGCCAGCCATGCACTGAGGCTCCTTCGCCCTGCAGAAGGATTTTTCTGTCCCATTTCCTTTTCAAACTGGGCCAGACTTTTTTACTGTATCTCACTCATACAAAATGTTTCAGCTGAGAGATACTTGTTTGTGTACGGCGCAGGGGAATGCAATGTGTAAATCTCCCTGCTGCCATCCCAAATGTGGTGGCAGTTTCACAAGCAGTTTTACTGAGCCCCTCGGACCCAGCAAAAGGGAGTTGATCTGAGCTCCTCTTCCATTATGGGAAATAAATAAAGAGTGACAAAACTCTCACTGTAAAAGCCCAAAGGTGTGTCTCCAGAAATAACTGCTCTTTAGAGGACAGTATAAAAATAGTCACACTTGTTTCAAGGAAATACTGGTTAAAATGGATAAGATTTTATTTTCCTATCACTATTTTTCCACTTAAAGACTTACCTGAAATGAGAAGGCTTTTGTTCTCCTCCTAGACAAAAAGGAATTCAGGCTGTTCTTTCCACACAAGATATTTGTTGTAACTACAGTCTTACTTATGGCTGGCATGGATTTTGTCACAAACATAATAATAATAGTAATAATAATAGTAATAGTAATAATAATAATAATAATAATTATTACAAATAACAACATTTTAGAACACTACAAATATTGTTTATGTGCCATGTGGTTTACTGTACTAGAGACCTCATCTTGCTTAAAACTAATCCAGAAGAAAACTCTTTTTTTTTCTTTTGTGGGGTGTGGTTTTTGGTGGTGGTAGTGGTGGTGTTTTTTGGGGGATTTTGGTATTTTTGAAAGTAGCATTGTTCCCACGTCCATTCCCCAGTGCAGCTGCATAAACCCTGGGGCTGGCAGGGCTGCAGGGCTGGGATACCACAGAAACCAGCAGCAGGTGGCAGAGGAGGTGAGGCTCGGTCAGCATTGCTGCCACACACTTTGCCTTGGGTACCCAGCCTCAATGCAGCCAGAAATCATAAACAGAGCTCACTTTGCTCCAAGCCAAGGCTGCTGGCAGCCAGGAATTGGGGGCAGACTGCAAACCCCGCAGGAATCCCAGGTAAATCCGCAGCAGCTCCTTGCCCTGCCTGCCACGCTGCGCTCACAGTGCCACCAAGGACACCCTGTCTCAGTAAAACCTGTGCTGTGACAGTAATCACATTTGAGCTCATGCTCCCCTGCATTTGTACAACCTGCAGCCACAGCTTTGAATGAAATGCAGACAGTGAACGTTTGTACCTCCAGTGTGAGGGGGAAAATATTTCTGCTTGCCAGACTAGAGATGTGCAGAGGGGAGCACTCACCGTTCTGCAGCCCTGGAAGCGGAGGTGAAAGTGATTCCAGACGCAGGGATGCTGCATCTGCTGCAAGGAAAAGGATCATTTAAGGAAAGGGCTGCTGAAAACATTCTCTCACTAATGTAAAACACTGCATAAAGCACAAAACAGTGGCTGAAAGCCTGGGGATAAATTACCTTACAATCAAACACACACACATCTCTCCTGACACCAGACAGTCCGTCACACCTGAGTCCCTCGTGACAGAACCAACTGCATTTGGAAATCTTTATTTAGAAAACGAAACAATCTAGCAAGATTTCAACACAGACCCCCTAAAGCATAATGCTGTGAAACCAAAGCCAGCTCTGCAAGTGTAATTGTACTCCATTGTCACATTAGCCATGAAAAAGTCTCCCTAATCGTTACTACTTGACTTAAAAATCCTGTGTACGAGTAAAATCCAGGCTGTGCTCACCACGAGCAGTAAGGACTGGAGTGCCACCCAACGGTGAGACAGTCATTAACAGCTCTGATTAAAGATTTCTGCCTCGACCTGCTCCTGCCACAGCAGGGAACGAACTACCATGGGGGCTCTGGAGGATCCAAACAGCAGGAGCTGCCCAGGCACACACACACACAAGTTATTTTCCTTTAACAGAGGCAGTAGCAGAGTTTTTGGTGTCCTAGTCCTGTTTACAGTGTTTAAGTTCCATCCCATCCCATCCCATCCCATCCCATCCCATCCCATGCAGAACTTGTTTCCCCAGAGCCTGAGAGCTGGCAGAGCAGCGAGCCCTGGGCAGTCACACACCCTGCCACTCCACAGTGCAGTTTGTATATTTGTGTATTCACAACTTTCTCCATAAGTTGCTTTGAGCTGCGGAGGATGAAGAGAGGCTATGAAATGTAGGATTGTGCTGGGACAAGCACCTGCCTTTTCCATGAAGTAGAAATAACACAATCCTACCCTTTCCCCTGGATTCTCACTGACATTTCAAGGGCCAGACTCTAGTGGACAATTTGAAAACCAAAACCTCTGAATCAGACTGTACTGGGATGGAAAAACAGTGTGCCTTAAGTTGCACAGGTTGGAATTATTTTGGGAAGGGACTGCCTTCCTCTGTGCAAAGTGCAAGAAGGGTTGTGTCCTGAGACCACAGATCATTTTCATTTACCTAATCCTCCATTATTATAAGGATCTAAGTCACCAGTAATACTTTTAATCTCTTCTGTGTTTTTTTTTCCCTGCAATACTTAGCAGATTTTGCAACTTACAGTATTTTGTAAGGTAGATCATAAATTTCATAAAGGCTGTTAGGAAATTTTTTGCTGCTGTGCATTTGTGCGGAGGCAGAATTTGAGGATTAAATATGTATTAAAGGGTGAACATGTTTGTAGGGCACAGATGTCTGATCCAAGTGGCCATTTCCAGCCCATATTCTTGGCTGGAATATATTTCAGACCTTCAACTCTACTGCGACAGGTATCCAAAACCGTGGAGCCAGTTGTGCTCAATTCAGCACTGGGGTAAACACCCTCTGGCTTCAGCTGAAGTTATAAATCCAGAGATTAATTTACCCTTTTCCCATTGCAAGCCAGGACTGGAAATGTCATGAAAATAGATGTAACAATTCCAATCCACACATTCCTATTACCTTCCCTATTCTATCCCAACCATCAATAAATTGTATTGTAAGATGTTTCGTTGGTTTTTTTTTCATTTGTACTGTTTCCTGTGAAGAAGGAAATAGTTCAGAAGCCACCAAAGAAACCTTACAGAACAAGCCAAACTATGCCAGTGCCAATTTTGCCTATAGAAGCATTTCAGGCTGAAATATTGGGCCACTGGCAAAGTACATCTCCACAATGAGGAATGGAAAGGAGCAGTGTAAAAGGTTGCACGAGGAGGAGCCGTGCCGTGCCCACCTGGCCCCGGCGCTGGGCAGGGCTGGGTTCCAGCTGCCCGCGCTCCCGCAGCACCGCGATGGAGCAGTGACACCCAGCGGCTGCTGGCATCGCTGCGGGGTGCGGGATTGCGGGGTGCGGGATTGCGGGGTGCGGGATTGCGGGATTGCGGGATTGCGGGATTGCGGGGTGCGGAATTGCGGGATTGCGGGATTGCGGGATTGCGGGGTGCGGGATTGCGGGATTGCGGGATTGCGGGATTGCGGGATTGCGGGGTGCGGGATTGCGGGATTGCGGGATTGCCGGGTGCGGGATTGCGGGGTGCGGGATTGCGGGATTGCGGGATTGTGGGATTGCGGGATGCGGGATTGCGGGGTGCGGGATTGCGGGGTGCGGGATTGCGGGATTGCGGGATTGCGGGGTGCGGGATTGCGGGATTGCCGGGTGCGGGATTGCGGGATTGCGGGATTGCGGGATTGCGGGATTGCGGGGTGCGGGATTGCGGGATTGCGGGATTGCGGGATTGCGGGATTGCAGGATGCGGGATTGCGGGATTGCCGGGTGCGGGATTGCGGGATTGCGGGATTGCGGGATTGCGGGATTGCCGGGTGCGGGATTGCGGGATGCGGGATTGCGGGGTGCGGGATTGCGGGGTGCGGGATTGCGGGATTGCGGGATTGCGGGATTGCGGGATTGCCGGGTGCGGGATTGCGGGATTGCGGGATTGCGGGATTGCGGGATTGCCGGGTGCGGGATTGCGGGATGCGGGATTGCGGGGTGCGGGATTGCGGGGTGCGGGATTGCGGGATTGCGGGATTGCGGGATTGCGGGATGCGGGATTGCGGGATTGCGGGGTGCGGGATTGCCGGGTGCGGGATTGCGGGGTGCGGGATTGCGGGATTGCGGGATTGCGGGATTGCGGGATGCGGGATTGCGGGATTGCGGGATTGCGGGGTGCGGGATTGCGGGGTGCCGGGATTGCGGGGGCTTCTGCCGGGGCTCCCCACCGGAGCTCCGCCGGGACAGCAACCCGGCTGCGGGCTAGGGAGGGGCCCGGACCGCGCACACCTGAGGGGCCGGACCGCGCACACCTGATGGACCCGGGCCCGTGCACACCTGAGAAACCCCGGACCGTGCACACCTGACGGGCCCGGACCATGCACACTTGAGGGGCCCGGACCGTGCACACCTGAGAAACCCTGTCCGCACACACTTGATGGAACCGGGACCGCACAAAACTGAGGGACCCGGGGCAGCACACACCTGATGGACCCCAGCCCGCACACACCTGTGTAACCCCCGTCTGCGCTCACCTGATGGACCCCAGCCCGCACACACCTGTGTGAACCCCGTCCGCGCTCACCTGATGGAGCCGGGCTCGCGCACACCTGAGAAAGCCGGGCTCGCGCACACCTGAGAAAGCCGGGCTCGCGCACACCTGTGTAACCCCCAATCCTCACATACCTGAGGGTCCTCCCCCCCAATCCTCACACACACCTGAGGTGCCCCCCCAGCTCTCACACACCTGAGGTACCACGGGCCCGACGTGGCTCGCTGACTCCCGGCCCGGCGTTGAGTCCCAGCCCGGTCTCTGATGTCGCATCTCCTTGTCCTCACTCTCATCTCTGCTCACCTGCCCTCTGCCAGGTCTGTCCCAGCTGTCTCCACTGTCGAGGGACGCTGCCCCGCTGTCCCCGCTGCCGTGTGGCACTGCCCTGCTGTCCCGCTGTCCCTGCTGCCGTGTGGCACTGTCCCGCTGTCCCCGCTGCCGTGTGGCACTGCCCCGCTGTCCCGCTGTCCCTGCTGCCGTGTGGCACTGCCCCGCTGTCCCCGCTGCCGTGTGGCACTGCCCCGCTGTCCCGCTGTCCCTGCTGCCCGCTCCTGGCCCGCTCCCACACGGACCCCGAGGCCACACGGGCCCCTCACAGCTGCGGCTGCTCCCACGCTGATCCGGCAGCAAAGGGTGCAGCTGACCAGGCTGACCAACCCCGAACACGCCAGCGTCCCCTCCAGGACTGGGTACCTCAACACTGTGGGCACGAGGTGCCAAGGAGATAAAGCTTTCATGCCAGAGCATAGCCACAAAGCTGGGGAAGGGTCCGGAGTGCCCTGTGAGGGGGCTGAGGGAGCTGGGCAGGGGCTCAGCCTGGAGCAAAGGAGGCTCAGGGGCCCTTGTGGCTCTGCACAGCTCCTGACAGGAGGGCACAGCCGGGGGGAACGGGGACAGAAGCAGAGGGAACGGCCTCAGGCTGGGCCAGGGCAGCTCAGGGTGGGCACAGCAGGAATTTCCCCATGGAAAGGGGGCTCAGGGCAGCTCAGGGTGGGCACAGCAGGAATTTCCCCAGGGAAAGGGGGCTCAGGGCAGGCTCAGGGTGGGCACAGCAGGAATTCCCCCATGGAAAGGGGGCTCAGGGCAGGCTCAGGGTGGGCACAGCAGGAATTTCCCCATGGAAAGGGGGCTCAGGGCAGCTCAGGGTGGGCACAGCAGGAATTCCCCCAAGGAAAGGGGGCTCAGGGCAGCTCAGGGTGGGCACAGCAGGAATTTCCCCAGGGAAAGGGGGCTCAGGGCAGCTCAGGGTGGGCACAGCAGGAATTTCCCCAGGGAAAGGGGGCTCAGACACTGGAACTGCCCAGGGAGGGTTGCAGTGCCCATCCTGGAGGTGCCCCAGGAATTCCTGGAGGTGGCATTCAGAGCTCTGGGCTGGGGACAAGGTGGGGATGGGCACAGCTTACATTTGATGGTCTTGGAGGGATTTTCCAACCCAAATGATTCTAGGATTTGGCATAAATTGGTATCAGCATATTCTGAGGGTCTCAGTTTTCTAGTCCTGGATATCATTGCATGTAAAAGGAAAGCCAGAATTCCGTAGTACATCCATCAATTTGCTGTGTTTCATCAAAACAAGAGTCACAATGTGTGCCACTCTGCAAATTGCTTCTTACTTCTTTTATATGAGCATATACAGATAAAAGCAAATATTTATGAAGTAGTCTATCTGCTCAAAAATTTCCAATTATTTAGTGAAATCATTTCTCGAACCACATGGACACATTTAAAATGTTACTTGCCACACATATTGCCACCGTAATGGACAGAGATTTATGAAGAAATGTGATACACTGATTTTCTAGGTTACTCTGTGAAATTTCCAACCGAGTATCAATTTGTTTGTGATACATGACTTGGGATATCTATGTCTGTGTGGTTGGAATATCTGCATTTCAAATTCAGCACTATGGATGAGGGGTCTCTGAGACGCGTAGGCTACAATTCCATTTGGAAATGAACGGCCTTATGGAAAAGCTGAGGTAGACTGGCAGGTTTGCCTCCTCGGACAGGGCTATAGCACCTGGGTAGCAATGGGCATTCCGGAGCAGGAATGCAAGAGAACAGATGATCAAATACCATGCGGGGCCTGTCGATTTCCTTACATCAAAAGGAGAAACCGACACCACTGATTTCTTTCTGCAGACCGCGCTAAGAGCGGAAACCCTCTCCATCTGTGTGCAGCCAGAGCAATGTGCAGCCGGAGGCTGACGAGCCCGCGGAGCCGCGTCCCAGCCGGGTGCACGGCCAGACCCGGCCCCGCGGTCCCCCCGCGGTGCCCTCGGTGCCCGTGCCCGCACCGCCCTGCCCGCAGGAGCGCGCCGGCACCGCGGGCCGTCCTGCCGCGACAGCGCACGACCCGAGCCGAGCCGAGCCGTTCCCGGCGGCCGGCGCAGCCCGGCCCGGGGACAGAACGGCCCCGCTCCGCAGCGTCCTCGCCATCGCCGCCGCCCCGCGGCCCCTCCGCCGGGCCGGGGCCGCCGTTCCCCGGGCCGGGCCGGGGCCGCGGGGGCCGAGGGGCGCCCCGGGCCCGCCCCGCTCGCAGCCGGCGGCGGCCTCGGGCCCGCGGGCTCGGGGAAGGCCCGGGCGGAGCGCGCCGCCCCCGGCGCGGCCCCCGCAGCCCCCCGGGCCGCGGGGCGGGCCCGGCCCCGCTCCCACCGCCCCGGACGTCGCGTCGCCGGGGCGGGTGCGCAGTTCCGGCGGCAGCGGGAGGGCGGGGGCCGGGCAGAGCCGCCGCGGCCTCGGCAGCAGCTGCAGCCGGAGCGGCGCGGGGGGCCAGGCCCCCGCCATGGAGATCGAGAAGGAGTTCCAGCGGCTGGACCAGGCCGCCAGCTGGCCCGCCATCTACCAGGTGAGGGGCAGCGCCCGCCGGCTGTGCCCGGCCCGGCGGCAGCGCTCCCTCCCTGCCTGCCTGCCTGCCTGCCGTGCCTCCCTCCCGCCGCCCGCGATGCCGCCGCTGCTGCCCGGCCCCGGGGCCAGCCCTGCCCTGCCCTGCCCTGCCCGGGCTCGTTCCCGCTCGCTCCCCGCTCCCGGGGCACCGGGAGCTGCCCCGCTCCCCGGGCAGCAGCAGCCCCGCTCGGCAGTGCCCGCCCGGAGCACGAGCCGCCCCGCTCGGGCACATCCTCAGCCCTGGAGCCCACGGGGCCATCGGGCCGCAGCGCTGCCCTCGCTGCCCCTCCGGGACCGGGGCAGCCCATCCGCCAGATTTGTCGTTGGGTTCGAACAGAGGGGCAGCGAGCGGGGGCATCAAATGCGCTTGGCTTTTCCGTCACCTTAATCATAGAACAGCGCCTGAAGCAGCGAATTAGCAATGCTCGTGCAGCTAGCTGGTACTGGGTATTTATTGTGTCATCTACTGCATTTAGATTTTTTTGCGATATTTAAAACAACCCTGTTGCAAACGTGAATGCTTGCAACAGTGTTTGCCTTCTGGATCCAGCTTCACGTACAAGCCACAGAAGTTAGTGGTTTTATCTTTAAAAGTTCTTCACACCTTTATCTAAAATGAAGTTTAAGAGAAGCTGAAATACATGAATGACTGGGCGGATGTGTTCAGTCAGATCAGGCAGCGTTGCTGTAACATCCATTTGAATGTTTAAGCTGGTATATTGCATAAATGAATGACTTGAAGTTCACGTTTGCAACACACGTTGAGCTTCGCTTCTCATTGTGAATTTCTCTGGCAATAGACCATTGAGAGAAGGAGGTGTGTAAAAGTGAAATAAATGCACTTCAGTTTCAGAATCGCAGCAGGCAAGTTTTAACATCAATAGCTGGCAGGGTGAACATCCTCAGTTGTCTGGCATTTAGAGAATAAGCATGGCATGTTGAGCCTGCTTTTGGGAAGGTCCATTTCCTACATTTCCCTTCCCTGCCGAGTGTCAGTGCTTGCTGACTGTATCGGTTGAGAGTCATGTGGATATATGACGTTATGTTTTTGCTGAACTGTTCTGGATGATTTGGTGTGTTGCGGGCTTAGTGCTCAGGAAGTGATTTTGAGTAATAGAGCTTTGTAATTGAAGCGGTACATTTCTAGAGGTACAATTTAATTACAGAAGTGAAATATCTAAGTAGAATGAGAGAATGGCCCATTTTCAATGAGGGATCAGCATTCAGTGATATTTTTGTCCTGCTCTCTTTGAATGATATGACTCAGTGGCCTGCTCAAACTGTGGCACAGCATGAGTTTTGATTGAGCACTAAAATTCAATTTTAAAAAGGACTGAAGTGATTCTTTGATTTGCATCCAACTATTGACAAGCACAGGGGGTGGATTTTTCACTTGTTTTTTTTCCCCTGATTGATTAGTAAATATGTGCATCTATGTCATGAAATTCAGTTTCTCAGCTGCATCCTGCTTTGAAATAAGCTGTTGGAAATGGCATCTTGGCAGGTCATGTACATCTGGAAGGACAAGGTACTTCTCTGTAAGCTGTGCTTTTGGTGTCTGAGCTGTGACATTAACAAAGCAGTGTTCCTACAACGCTGGTTTTTGCTTGACCAATGCAGTAGGCAGAGCAGTGCATGTGGTTGGTGCAGAAAAACATCTTCCCCAGGGTAATTGTACCACACATTCTGGTACCTCAGTGTCACGACTGTACCTGCTGAAATGCAGAAAGGTTCCCCAGTGCTGCAGGTGAAGCATCCTGCGGCCAGCCCGTGTTCCGTGTCCCGGTCTGTTATCTCCGGATACAGCCCAGCATCTCCAGGAGGAGTCAGCAGCACGCAGGGAGGAGTGGCCACGGGACACTGTCTGGGTGCCCCATCACTTGCAAGGGTTAAAATTGTCCATGCTGCTTTTTTTTGGACGAGAGGAAGCTGTGTTCAGCTATGATAGTACAGTTGTGAAAGAATAGAATTTAGATTGCCTTCTTTTTTCAGCAGAAGTAATCACAGGATGGGGACACAAACATTTCAAAGTGCAGACCTTGTTTAGGTGATTTTGTGATGATCATGTCTTGGGCACTGCACAGTATGGAGCCATTCTCTGTACCGCTGGTCAGAGCAGGGTGAACAGTGATGAACTTCTTTGTTTTCTTTCTCTGTTTTTTTTTTTAATGTTTATTTAGTTTTTAATACCTATTTCTATCCCTTACTTTCCTCTAGATTTACTTGTTACGAGAACTGTGAGCCATGAGATCCTGTGGAGGTTGTTCAGGGACCCAAGTGAGAAAAATTGCTAAGGTTCTAGCTGTTGCCTGTATTTTAGAGAAACATAAGCGTAAGAAAGGCACAATCAAATTAAAATCCTCTTCCATCAAACAGTGAGTTAGAGGAATGTGAGCTTTGCCATGTACTAACTGTGGCAAAGGTGTGCAACAGAAAACAAATGCTTAAGGGTAAGTGAATTATATGCACCCTACAGAAATATCATTAGAAGTATCTATTGGAATGAGAAGCATTCACTCTGGAGATGTCACAACAAAAAACCCATACCCCAAAGCTAAGGAAAGCGCAGGTTAGGCTTTTAAAGCAGGGAAGAAAAGTAAATATTTGTCCAGAATATCAAAACAACTCTGGGTTGTCATTTGCTCACAGTGAGTGCAGTATCAGATTTTCATAGTAATTTTACATGTAGAAGTCTTTCAGAACTTTAGGAGATATTTCAGTTTCTAACTTCTTACACAGGGTGATAGAACGAGATATTATCTTAAAAACACATGCCTCAAGTACAGGTAGAGTTGCTTCTTGTGTTTATATAAACCAGATATGTTGACTTTAGCATGTTGGCCAATGATGTTAACTTTGATGTGCTTATCAGGAGCAGTAAAAATACCTCTGAATTATTTACTGATGTACCATTCAACTGGGGGTTCCATTCACTATGGATGGAGGCAGAGCTGTCATTTGGGGACAGCTCATGCAGAGTTTTCCATGTGAAGGTAGCAGAATGAAACTAAAATGAACATTATTTTCTAGTTTTTATAGTTAGTGGAATTTATAATAAGAACTGGAAATAGTTGAGATTTTCCAGCATGTTTGGAAGTGAGTATCCTGAAAACAGAACTACCTATCTCTGGAAAGCTGAAGTGTAATTGGAGTTGGGTTTTAGGCCTGTAAATAACTGTTCTCAGTTTCTTTATTAATTTTTGAGGGTCTTTTAACCAAATATTAACGTAAACGTTAGTTTTTCAAACCTCTCTAAGCTAAACTAAAATACTACAAATTATGAAAATTAATGAACTTCATTCAGATTGTGGGAGGAAGATAGAAAGGTATCATGGATATTTTGGATATCCCTCTGTCAAGACAGAAGAGGCATGGGAAGTTTTTTAGGTATTCACTGTCTCTGGAAAAGTATTTGTAGAATATTTTCTTATGTAGATGGATTTTGGTGCTGAAAGTAAACTGTGAAACGGTTGACCCTGAAGAATTGTAACAGTGTGGCTGTGTTGTGTATTTAAAGTCAGTGGACAGGAAGCTCTGCAAGGGCTGTTGGTTTATAAGCTGCAGCAAGAGTGCAGGCTGAAAGCATTTGGGTTACTCCTTTGCTTGGGTGCTAAGCAGCAGATAAATTGTGGCACGAACACGACTTCTTATAAATGCACCTTTGTGCTTTATTCTGCCAGTTCTAGCTGCAGGTCTCTGCATGCAGCGCCTTGCCGCTGCTTGATTCGTGCTCTGTTGATTCATTTGAGGCTCAGCACAATTGGCTCTGGTTGTGGAAGGCTGGTTTTAGACTCAGGGCTGCAGGGAGTCTCTGTTCCTTCAATCAGCTGAAGATATCCCATGTTTTCCTGTGCTGTACAGAGTCTTCCTACACGTGGGCAGGGTTGGTGATGGAGAAACAAAGTGTCTGTGGCTCACAAAGCCGGGATGCTGCCTGAAAAGCAGAGCTGCTGTTCAGCTGCAGGGGCTGGCACCTGTGTGCCCCTGGGGCTGGCACCTGTGTGCCCCTGGGGGTGGCACCTGTGTGCCCCTGGAGATGGCACCTCTGTGCCCCAGGGGCTGGCACCTGTGTGCCCCTGGGGGTGGCACCTGTGTGCCCCTGGGGCTGGCACCTGTGTGCCCCTGGGGGTGGCACCTGTGTGCCCCTGTGGCTGGCACCTGTGTGCCCCAGGGGCTGGCACCTGTGTGCCCCTGGGGCTGGCACCTGTGTGCCCCTGGGGGTGGCACCTGTGTGCCCCAGGGGCTGGCACCTGTGTGCCCCTGGGGCTGGCACCTGTGTGCCCCTGGGGGTGGAACCTCTGTGCCATTGGGAATGGCACCTGTGTGCCCCTGGGGGTGGCACCTGTGTGCCCCTGGGGCTGGCACCTGTGTGCTCCTGGGGGTGGCACCTGTGTGCCCCAGGGGCTGGCACCTGTGTGCCCCTGGGGGTGGCACCTGTGTGCCCCTGGGGCTGGCACCTGTGTGCCCCTGGGGCTGGAACCTCTGTGCCCCAGGGGCTGGCACCTGTGTGCCCCTGGGGCTGGCACCTGTGTGCCCCTGGGGCTGGCACCCGTGTGCCCCTGGAGATGGCACCTCTGTGCCCCTGGGGGTGGCACCTGTGTGCCCCTGGGGCTGGCACCTCTGTGCCCCTGTGGATGGCACCTCTGTGCCCCTGGGGCTGGCTCAGGGCACGCTGCTGCCTGGCCTGGCTTTCACTGCTGCCTCTTTCAGAGCAGCACCAGCTGTGTCTGCTGCTGGCAGATCTGAGATTGGGTAGGTGCCCTTATATAAAGCCACCTGAGCCACTTACTCTTGCTTTTTCTACACAGTTTAAAATCTAAATACATGAACTCAGAGCTTCTGTGATAGTCTTGCTTGTAACAGAGCATGGAGAAATGGAGCCTGTTATGGTTATCATTTGC